GAAAGCACGGTCCAAACGAATTTTCGTAAAATTTTCCCCAGATATAATACACTTGTACCAGCGTTTTTTCCAATCTTCGAAGCAGCTATGATGATATGCACTTTCTGGTATGTCCAGTTTTTATCTCCTCAATCGACGTAAAACGCCGTACTTTCGTGGGTCCATTCAATCTAGGGAACAGGAAAAAGTCACAGGGGGCCAAATCTGGTGGATACGATGGCTGATGCAATGACGAGTGAGCAAGTCGATTATTATGGTGATGCAAAAGCCATGAATGATTTTTCTACAATACGAACGTTTTCTTCGGTTTCTACTCGAAAGCGGAAAGATAATACTCAGAACCAAGATAATACTTAGAACCTTTCTCACTATCCAGTTTTTCGAAAACACCCAAAAATCTAGTGTTCTGTACCGATCCCAACAGTTTCAGACAGTTCACATTTGTTCCATGGCCGTTCTTCATTGTCCTAACCTGACCTAACATTTGTTGGAGTTTGGAGTTTGCTCAACATTTTGTATCTTTCTTTACTCAAGGAGAACGTAACAAGGCTATGGACACGAAAGTTTGGTCAGTTTGGTCCTGCCATTTTTTGTTGTGGATAATGGTGTGGGCAATCAGGAATATGTGTAGATTCAATGTTCGAGGATATATTGTTGAGAGTTGAAACAAAGTGCTCTACTTCAAAATTCTTTGTGTGAAAAATCGCAAATTTATCAGCTCCATATCGGATCTAATTGCAATTTTGTGGAAAATTGTCTTTTCTTCAAAATAAGTCACTATCAGTGATGAGCAAAGTAGTTTTTTATGGGTAGAACTATTATTTACGACAAGTTACTTATGCATAGTACATTTTCCTTCAAGAAAAATTGCAACTTTTCAAATTGAAAAAATCCAAAATGTCGTGCAAAATACTTTGAATATACATTAACATCTATACCAATATTAAAGAGAGAAAAAATGTTTTATTTGATTTTTATACATTTGTAATGGGTAAATTCAAAAACTACACCTACAGAAAGCTACATTATCAGAGACATGGGCTTTGTTTTGTTCAATGAAAATTCCTACGAAAATTACAATAATATAACTGGAAAAACCAAAATTTTACCTAACTCATTATTATCCAGCGTATCAGGACGAATCGCTAGTCTCTGATACTTTCTAAAATCCGCATTTTGCTACACCTCCGTTTTACATTGTTTTTTACTTCAATGATAATTCAGACCTCTATTTCCGAGATTGAAAGGGATTTTCTAATCACGCATTCAGGGAGAACAGATCTAAGTCTTGGCATAGTTTCTACGAGACTTTATTGACCACGAAACTTGCACCATTTCAAGGCGCACCCTACAATCAAAGCATAAGTTTCTCGCCGTTTCTCCTTCTCCATAACCGACGAATAAATAAAATATGAGCAGTAAACTTCCACTTTCCTCCTTGACTCCGACTTATCAATTCAGGAGTTCAAAAGGAAACCGGCTAATAGATTCTCACAAAGCCCTCGGAAAAGGGTCGGTCTCCCAGTGATATTCACGTTATGCATATCCGTGGATCAGCCGGATCTCAGGCGTTTCCTTTTGCACTGGTTTCGCCTCATCAAACTTTGATATTGTTCCACATAACTCTATCGCAGCGATATGAAGCGATTTCTGAATCGTTTCAGAATAGAAGTAGAGTTTCCTAGTGGCAAGAAAGTTAGTTCGCAGTGAATGATCTTTCAGGTGAGATGACGAACGCAACACAAAACACACAAGAAAGAGAACAATTCACATAAAACAACACAAAAAACTCAAGATGCGTCAGAAATGAAAAAACCGCAAAAACGCACAAAACGGAAAACCCCAAAAAATCGCACACAAAACACACAGCACTCTTCACATGACACAATATGCTGAAATAACACACAAAACGCAACACATGAAAACCACAAAAAAAAGAATATTACGCAAAAAATTAAGGGACTAGAAAAACGCAACAATGTAAAAAAAATGAAAAGGGAAGCTTTACGGTTCAGAAAGCTATTGTATAGCAAAACACGTGTCGCGGTTTTTCTAAAACCTTTTATAGTGAGAATCATACAATAAACATAACACAACACGCAAACAGCACACTACACAGTTCATATAAGAAACCACACATAATACTCACACATACACACAATAACACAAAACACACAGCAAACAACCCACAACGCAAACAGATCATACACAGCAAATGCCACACGACACAACGCAAATATCGCACTATGTTAACACACAGCACAGTGCATATAAGAAACCACACACAATACTCACACACAACAACACAATACTCACACAATACAAACTACACAACAAATAACACACCACACATACAGATAACACACAGCAAACGACACACGACAACGCAAATAATGCGAAAAAATGAGAAACGCAAATAACACATGTACAAAACACAACACAAAATATACCACACATAACATACAATACATACTCGTACAGCGCATATAAACACAAACCCAAAACACGCCGCGCAAAAAACGCCACAAAATGGAAAAACGCATATAACACACATACAGATAACAACACAACACAAAACATACAGCAAACATCAACCGTCACAAAGCAAAAACAACAAACGACACAAAGCAAAAATTGGAAAAACGCAAAACACACGTACGAAACACAACACGAAATACACTACACATAACAAACAAAATATACTCGCGCAACACATATAAACACAAACTTAATTTCTACCATCACTCTGGAGTAACCATTCCGTTGAAGGTCATTTTTTGATGATGCCTAGTTCCTTTTCGAGATCTTCCTTTGTATTACAGAGCCCGAAAGCACGGTCCCATTGGCAGTCCCTCATCTTGCGTAAAGAATTCGTCCTTCAGTTGGAAGTAGAAGTTTCGTACGACAAATTAATGTGATTTTCAAATCAAAAATATTAATTTTTCATTTTCATCGATTTGTGGAATCAAGTATTTGGTTAAGAATAACACAGAAACAATCATTTTGATGTAAAACAGAATATTGTGTAAGTCATCACAGGTTTGCAAAAAAAAAACGTTTCTAAAGAAAGATGAAAAAACTAATGTAAATATATTTTTCATCCATTCAAATTTTTGTTTTCTAGGGCGAGAAGTTTCATAACAAAGGCTGCTATTTATCGTCAGTCTTAAATTATACAATCGATAAACGAGTCAGGTGAATGTAAATCAGTGGATAATTATTCATTCAAGATAATGGCACGCGATTTCGTAAAAGTGGAGTATATCTTGACACAAATGTAGCTTAAGGTCCTGATAACATTTCCAAAACTAGGTGAATTTGTTGAAAAAATATTATCTAAATAGAAATGGTTTACTTTAAAAAAACGTAACACAAACTATATCCAATAATATAAATAATTTTGGATGACCTCAAAGTGAAGTTGATCGAGACAGTTGAGGCTCTAAATACAATATTAAAGGAACGTGTTGGACATATTGTGTATGAATATTTGGGTATGCAAAAGCTCTCATTCGAATAGAAGTTTTTTTTATAAAAAAGTGCCTTATATATTTTTCACAACATCGTGTTTGATTTTTATATATGATAGTCTAAAACAAACGTATTCTTGCACTGATAATTTTAGAGGTTTCTATACTCTGTCCTTCTAAGCTACGGAGTGCTCTAAAACATTATCACGTAATCTCCCAGGCAAGGCTACTTTTACAGAGTCGCACTAAGGAACGACCGAACTTTTATTTAATTTTTTTCAATGATATGCGGCTGGGTTTAGAAAAATATTTTTGGTGAAATGTCCGCGATGGTTTATGTCTATCTCTTTGGGATAACCCAGAATAACCATTTTTATCTTTTACTATTTACGAGAAATAATGTCTTATTTACGAAGCGAATTTAAGCAATAGAGCGTTAATCCTTATCCATTTAAATACCTTAAATACATTGTGCATTTGATATGAATCAATATTGCCTTTTATATCAGGTAATTTAAATATTTTCGAAGATATTACAGCTTTAAAATGCAGGGACAGCGGTTGCGATGGCACCGGCCGGGGACCCGGGGGTAAGAGTGTAGGACTGGCCCCATAATCAAACATTTTCTGCGTCCAAAAGGAGGGAGGGCTGTATCCGCCACTGCGGTCACTCCCATTCAATTTTATATAA